TCGGTCGCATTTCGAGCATGGGAATGTCTCTACATCACTCACACTGGACGCCATTTTGAAAATTTCTCCCAAAGATAAAAATCAATCTGTAAAGAAAGAAAAAAAAAAAAAGGTCAAAGTTAAAAATCAGAAAAAGCCGAAAAAAAAGTCCATTTATAAAACCGAAGTAAAAATGACCCGAAATTTGGTGATTTTACAAGAAAAAACTAATCGATATCCGGAAAGGAAATTTTCATCTAAAATCCCAAATCAATAAAGTGGGTGGGGAGAAAGATTAAGGGGGGGGGAATAAAATAATTAGAGAGTGGGGAACAGAGAGAGTAGTAATCAATAAAGCTGTCATACGAGTTGAAGGCATTTCATTGGACGAGAATAGTCACACCTCTGGTCTGGAGGGCGTTACATGAGATAACAAGGGAGGGAAAAGCACGGATTGAATAACTGAAGGGGAGGAAATCAAACACACTGTGACATCATAGGTGTTTAAGGCATTTCATTGGACAAGAATAGTCACACCACTGAAGTGGGGGCGTTACAAGATGGGGGCGTTACATGAGGGGATAACAAACTGACAGTGTCATCATAGGTGTTTCTGATTTCATTGGACGAGAATAGTCACACCACTCAAGGGGGGGTTACATGAGATAACAAAAAGGAAAAGCACGATTAAATAACTGGGGAGGAAACCAAACGCATCATCATAGGTGTTTAAGGCATTTCATTGGACAAGAATAGTCACACCACTCAAGTGGGGGGCGTTACATGAGATAACAAGGGAGGGAAAAGCAATGATTGAATTACTGAAGGGGAGGAAAGCAAACGCACTGTGACATCATAGGTGTTTAAGGCATTTCATTGGACGAGAATAGTCACACCACTCAAGTGGTGGGGCGTTACATGAGATAACAAGAGGGGAAAAGCACGGATTGAATAACAAGGAAAGGGAAAAGTGACATCATTGGTGTTTAAAGCATTTCTGGACTAGAATAGTCAGCAAACGGAGGGCTTACATGACATCAAGGGAGGGTAAGTTATTGAATTTCTGGGGGAGGAAAAATAGTCCCCATCACTTTATTGGACGAGAATAGGGGGGAGGACGTTACAAGATAACAAGAGGGGTAGCACGGATTGAATAACTGAAGGATAACAAGGACATCTTAGGTTTTAGCATTTCATTGGACTTGAATATCTGGGGGAGGAAAGGGAAAAGCACTGTGACATCATGTGACATCATAGTTTATGGCATTTCATTGGACGAGTCACACCACTCAAGTGGATGGCGTTAACTAAGGATGGCAAGGTTAAGACAGGAGGAGAATAGTCACACCACTCTGCCGGTGAAATGTTAAGGGGGAAAAGGGATTGAAGAACTGAAGGGGAAAAAGGAAACGCAAGAATCATAGGTGTTTAAACGAGAGAAAATCGCTGATATTTTCTTTTTTTAGGATCTAAAAGCACGATTGAATTACTGGAGGAGAAAAGCAAACGCACTGTGAAATCATAGGAGTTTAAGACATTTCATTGGATTGAAAGTTATGAGATAACATGGAGGGTTTTATATTGAATATAGGGAGGAAAGGACATCATTTTAAAATGTTTCATTGACACACCACTCAAGTGGATGGCGTTACATAAGATGGCAAAAAAAGGAAGTGAAGGAGGGAAGACGAACTTTGAACGAGAGAAAAATCGCTGATATCATTACGAAAGACATTGATACTAACGTACAAAAACACGGACGCATCATATATATATAAATATATATATATATATATATATATATATATATATATATATATATATATATATATATATATATATATAAAAAAATAATCTTCCATGGTTAAAATGTATTACATTGGAATTGTAATCAAGATTCAATTCATCAGTCCTACAAATTAAAAAATCTTTTCAAATAATTTAGATAGATAGATAGATAGATAGATAGATAGATAGATAGATAGATAGATAGATAGATTCATTGAATTAAAAATATATATACATATAGATTGATAGATTTTAGGTATAAAAGGATAGATAGATAGATAGATATGAAAAGGATCGATAGATATGTGGACTCGTCCAATATCCTAAACCTTCCCAACCTAACGAAAGTTCTTGTCCACGGCGTATATATTATATACCTAAAAAGGTTCGACCAATGGAAACGGCAAGAAAAGAAGCAAACAACCTCATTGGTCAATCATTTGAAGTTCACGTGCAAACACTTTTAATTGCGCTTGATTCAAGTGAGCCACCCGGTGGATATTTAAACAGAGATCGTTTAAACCTTTGGAGAGGAGAGAATAGCAGCAGTAATTACAAGTTTCAATATGTAACATTTCACCGTCTCCGTCTTCGTCATTGCTCACCAGACGTTAAAGATAATTACCAACTCCACGCTAAAAGTCTCTCGCGAATTTCCAATAATGTTTTTTTACAAACCACAATTATGCCGCGCACGAAGACACTTCGCTTGATTTATATTAGATCATTCATCAATCAATCTGTGAACATTTTCCTCAACTTTACTTATGCACAGTGAATTAAATTTTCTTACTATAAAATAAGTATACATCAAATAAGTGTTTAAGGTAGACCAATCTCAGAAACTCTTTCAAAACTCTTATTATTCATAATTACGATATTCAACACAAACAAAAAAGACAACGAACTAACGAACAATATCAACAAAGAGACATTCACGAATCAAACAATTACACACATGATTTTGTACACACGATGACACAATGATTACCCAATCTGTATATTGATAAATTGTATAAAATGTTGTTTTGTTTTCTAAATTTTTTGTTTCTGTTTTTAATTGCATTTGAAATTTCATTTATTCATTTGTTCGGGACGCATTCTCACGCAACCAACTAAAATTCTGATTCTTTCTTAAATAATTAACATTCCTGCACGTTTCCCTACAATAATATAGATAGATAGATATGAAAGGATAGATAAAACAGATTGCAACAGACAGACGAACATGCATAAAAACAATATGGAAGTTTGTTGACTGGCAACAACACACATGATATTTTTTTAATTTCTGTGTCATCCTTGAACATACACATTATAAATCAGGGTGGGTCACTTCAATATAATTGTCAAAGACAAACCGCATAACACGATGTAAAAAAAAGCCGCTAAACTTAATGAAAACAAATTGGTTTATGTGAAAACACTTCATATTACTAAGAAGAGGAAAGACGGAATTATTTTTAATTATTTTTAAAAAATTTTATTCGTTTTTTAAAATTTTTCCTTTTAATTGAAAATCTTTTTTTTTTTTTTTAATTGGTCATCAGAAGTCGGGTAATATTTTTTTCAGCGCCTTTTTTTTTGAGTTGAAAAAAGTCATTAATTTGAAAATTTTTGCAGAGATAGATATGGACAGATTAATATAGAGAGTTGTACAGAGATTGACAAATTTATATTCTGATAATTTTCTTTTTAATTTAAAATCGCTATTTAATGGTTTTTAGAAAGAAAGAAAAATGAAAGAAGCAGACGATAAATGATAATCGATATTTTCAATCATTTATTGGAAAATCTTTATCAGAAATCTTAACTAAAAACGCATTTTTTTACCAAAGAATCCATTTCAGACTGAATTTTTTTTTTTTTTTTGTTCTATGAATTTAAAGAAAAGTAAATTGTTAAAAAAAAATTTTTTTTCTAAATATGAGTTTGGGTAAAAAAAAAAAAAAAAAGGCAAGAACAAATGAAATAAAAGAAAAATTTCTCGTTTGATTCATGAAAATATTTCAATGTAAAGTTCGATTATTTGAAATCGATTGGTGGGATTCTGCCTTACAATTGATTCCGTTCTCTTTCACAGAAAAATGAAATTAGTTTTTTTTTTTTCCTCAAAAGACAAAAGAGATAAAAAAAAATTTGACGTCTTCTTCTTCGTGTCGATTTTCGCCAAAGTGAAACCAGCGGGATGGCGCCGTGATGTCATGGGATTTTAAAGGCATTTCATTGGACGAGATTTTCACATACCACTGGACAGGAGGGCGTTAAATGAGGTAACAAGGATGAAAAGTTCGGATTGAGTAACTAACGGCGAGGAAGCAAACGCAATGTGACGTCATAGGTGCTAAAATCATTTAAATATTGGACGAGAATAGTCACACCACTGGAGAGGAAGGAGGGCGTTACATGATAATAACAAGACATGGAAAATTTACAGAGAACAAAATTTTGGGGAGGAAATTTTCTAAGCGCTATATACATCATTGGAGTTTAAGACATTTCATTGGACAAGAATAGTCACACCTCTGAACTTTATCCATTTTTCATTAGATAATTTCAAAGGGACGAAGGAGAGAGAAAAATGAGAAAGAGAATCATAAAGAAGAAAATGTTAGAAGAAAAGGAAAATAATATGAAAGGGAGGGGTCCTTTCTTTAAATCAAATAATTTAGATTTGAATGGAAAGAAACTTTATTTTTACATGAGATAAAAAAGGGAGGGAAAAGTATTCAGAGAAAAAAAAAAAGTATAGAAAAAGGAAAAAAAAGTCGCTGATATTTTTCCACATACACACACATGCAACATAGACATGTACTTCAAGAGGCACATACATTTTACTCACACACAATATTTATGGTTGATGTCATCAGGCAAGTTTTCATTGATATAATTTAGATAAATATAATATATAGTGGCAGGGATATATAGATACATACATACAAAAATGAAAAGTCAGAAAAGAAAATAGATATATAATGAACAGACAGGCATGGATTTTTCATTATATATATATATATATATATATTATATATATTTCATTATTTTAAATAGATAGATAGATAGATATACATTCATATACATGTACATGTCTATATATATTATAAATATATATATATATATATATATATATATATATATATATATATATTTATTGTACATATATATATAGGCACCAAAACCCACACACACACACACATTTTTTATAGATAAATATAGATAGATAGATTAAAAAT